TTTAGGAGTTCACCGGAACCGCATGCCCAGCACCATGCGAAGAAGCGTGTGTGCTTAGTATCACGAGCCCGCCTGTTACTATCAAAAGTGTCGAACTGGCTATTATCGAACATGCTTTTCAAAAGGGTTGGATACAGCCGATGCCGCCTCTTACGAGGTGGGGAAAAGCGTCACGCGCCACGAAATTAAATAGTTGATTTTAGAACGTACAAGACGGTTGCGATCGTGGGCAGCGGACCCGCGGGGTTGGTCGCGGCGGCTCAGTTGAATAAGGCTGGACACAGCGTAAGTCAGCTGAATTTTTCGATGAAAATTGGTATGAAATTTGCCGGAAATCTTGGGAGGGGGTTTGTGATTTTCTATAGTAGAGCAGATTTCGAGTAGGAATTTTTGCATATCGAATTTATACGTACTGTGGTACACCTTTTTTTTCAGGCTCAAAATCAGGAGAGTAAAATTCGACTCTAGTAGGGTGGAAGTTGAGAATCGTAAATGAAATATATGAATTCGAAAACGCAAGTTCAAATTCGTCAAACCCAAGAGAAAGTTGGAAAAAGACTTTGATCAGGTGACTGTCTTCGAGAGGGCCGATCGAATCGGCGGTTTGTTGGTGTATGGGATTCCGAATATGAAATTGGATAAGATCGATAAAGTGCAGAGGAGAGTTGAGATACTCCAACAGGAGGGAATCGAGTTCAAGACAGGTTGGTGTTGTGATTTGTGGATGTTCTCGCGGGAAGGGAAATATTTTTTTATTTTTGCCAGAATGAAATTTATGGAAAACAAAGAAGAAACACAGAAAGAAAGTTTTCGGAATAAATGACATGAGAAAACTTCATGGGGGGATTTGATCTCACGACCTTTCGGTTGTCAGTCTGTTGATGTACTCGTTGCCCAATTTGCAGATATCGAAATCGGCGTGGAGCCCCATACCCTATCATCTCTACGGGCTGGCTATGATGCTGTGCTTGTGGCCACTGGAGCTACCCAGTCTCGAGACACACTAACGAGGATACCGGGTCGCCAGTTGAAGGGCATTTATCAGGTGTTTCCATTGAATGTTTGGAGAGCGCAACTTAGCGGTTTTTCCTCTCGCGTTCTTTACATGATTGATCTCTGATATTTTTTTGATACTAGATATGTAAGTATATGTTGATGTCGTGGTACGTCGTTTCTCATCTGACTAGGCCGAATTGTCGTAGGCGTTGGATTTTGAACTCCCCTACATACTTGTTGCTGGTGAAGGGATCAGCTTAGTCTGTTGAATATACCCTGATGTCAGTAATGCTGCGAAAATATGTGAATATGTATTAGTGATGGAGTTTCACCCTAGTGATATGAAAAACAAAATTTACAACTACTGCAGGCCGCGAATATCGCGTTTTTCACCGAGTTTCACGACGCCACTTCACGTAAAACGGGTCGTGAAACTCCAATATAAAATGAATATTGAGGTAACAGTATTTGGTATTAATAAATACATCCAATTCTAATATATATTAATAAAGTCGGAGTTTCAACCCTAGTGATATGAAAAACGCTAGTGAAGAACATGTCTCACGACTACTGCATATCACCGCGAATATCGCGTTTTTCACCGAGTTTTACGACGCCACTTTACGTAAAACGGGTCGTGAAACTCCAATATCTAATAGTAATAATATGAATCATACTATCGTAGTATATCGATCCTCATCTGAGCCGCATTCTCGTAGGCGTTGGTATCTATAAACTCCCACACACGAAATCGTTTTTATTTCCAGTGTAATTTACTCGTTGACGACTCTTCGTGATGAGCTTGAAA